TCATGGACAGTCAATAAATTCTTATTTTTAAAGAAGAAACAATATGATAATGCAGATATATTCATAACAAAGTATATACATCCCATTTGTTTTTAAAATATTTCAAGCATTGGGCAAATTTGGGAATGGTTGGCTTTTTGAAAACTATTTCCCCAAACTAACAATGCTCTGGGCTAATCAAATTTGTCATTTAAAACTATGTATTTGCTTAGAAACAGTCTAAGCAATCTAAATTTTGAAATAAACATACTCAAAATGAGTGTTAATGCTGGTACTATGCCTTTTATTGACATGAGTACTGGTTTACATGAATTTTCTTCAGTACCCTAATTTGGCAGAACAGGCAAAGTAAATAAAATAGTCTCACTGTAGAAAGTTTGTCACAACAGGGGTCCTTACATTAACGGAAATATGATTCCTAGGAAAGTTTTAACTAGGCTCAGCATTGGCTTAGGCATTGCATACAGTCTTTTAAACTTACTTTTTCCTCTGTGAAGGTAGCAGAGAATCTAGCATCTATTGTGAAGAAACACAAATTTGCTCTTGTATCCTAATTTCCCCACCCCACACTGCCCCAGCCTGCTGTGTGCTGATTACGCACTGCACCATGTCATGGATGCTATCTCTAGTGCTATGTGTGTGTGCGTGCGTGTTTATGTATGCATGATATGGGGAGAATTTTGGTTAGAGTCGCTATTCCCATGTATGAAGCATTACTTTAGTCCTGGAGCCTTAAAAAGACATGTCAAGGTATTTCTGAACATGTTATTTGTTGAGCGATGTGGATGAAATGGGATTGCTTTAGTGCATTTCATGTAGCTTCTTCCACAATGCAATGTAATAGTGTAATGGTTTGCTGCAAGAAAACATGCACCAGTATTCTAGTGCCTGTTTCCCTACTGATTATTATTTATTATTTATATATGCAAATGAAATAGGAATGGACCATTAGTTCTAGATTTAAGAAATCTTGACCAACTTTATGTTTTGCTAGGCACAATGATTATCTTTTGAAAAATAAAGATATCATTGACTGCATTTTGACCATCTTTATATACAAACTTTATTTTATTTACTTATGTTTTTATATGCTGTCCTACTTTAAAAATAATTCAAGATAGCTTCTAAGAATATTAAATAATTGATTTTCTGTTCTGTGGATTTGTCAAGTCTAAAGTCTAAGAATAAATGCAAACATACATATACACTATTTTGATGAAAATGAGGAGGAATCATGGTTGAAAGCAATATGGCATCCATATACACTAATTATTCAATAATCTTTGCATTCCAGGTCAGCTTATGCTATTCCAGAGCTAAGATGTTCTTTAAATAGATAAAATAGTTCCTACAATTATCTTTCATACATAAGAAAAGTCATTTCCCAATAACTTAGATTCAAAGAAAATTCTATTTGAATGACTCTAATATCAGGAGTTGAAATTGCATCCTCTCAAGATAAAAATTGTAAGACTTTAATTATTCCCTATGAACAAATATTTAGATATTTAATTTGCATTAAATGTAACTATTTCTTATAGCTATATTCTCCCTGAAAATCTGTTCAGGACAATAATATTTGATAAGGTGACATAATTTTTGTTTAATCTAAATTTACATGCATTTTGGTGACTTCCATTTCAGTGCTAACTAAAATAGAAATGCTGTTTTTTAACATATAATATCTATTGCTATACCCTATGACACTGCATAATTATGAGATGGCAATAAATGAATTTAACATATTATGCTAGAAATAGATATATAGAATTTTAAATAAATCATTCCATTGATTTCTTATCTGTCCTCTATAATATTTCATCTAAAACATTTATCTTTTTGAATTTACATTTTAGCATTTATTAATCTCCAAACCATTTCTGAATCTAAGCTTAATATGCCACGTATACTCTTGGCTAATTAATAGCTAATTCAAATGTCATCTATAATAAATGAAAGGTTCTCCTAGAGTGAAGTTTCAAACAATTTCATATTAACAATTTACTTGCAACAACAAAGTATGTTTTAACCTCATCTATAATTGCACTATTTTAGACCTTCCATTTATACATGATTTAAAAATGTGCGTAGATGTATGAAATGGAATATTTTATTTTAGACTGATATTTTAGAAAAACAATTTTAATTCATTCACATTTTTCATCTGATCTTGATATTCTCAAAGGGCAATGATTTTTCCCAACAAAATAAGTCATTGCTGTGTTTATTAGCAATTTAAAATAATCCACACATTTTGAAACCATATAAATAGAAATTAGTAATAATTCAATTTTCCTTCCTTTGTCACATTCCCATTTGGTAATAAAGTTACAGAAAATTATTTAATAAAAAGACATTTGGAATAATCTATTTAATTCCTTAATTGCATAAACATTGCCCCAACGGTACCTACTGAGGGAGAAACATTAAGATGAAAATAATGTCTTCAATGCTGTTATATTTTACAGCAATTCACATAATCAATACTTCATGCTATTCTAGATGCTTAATGTTTTATTCACAGTCAGTGACAATCTTCATGCCTTTCTCACTCTCACATCCACTTGTTTTATTTTTTCTGTTCATTTTTGAGGATTAAGAAGAAGATACAAAATGAGCCCTTGCCTCACACATGTGTTAATATGCAGTATTGTGTTTGATGACACAGATGAAGCAATTCTATTCAATGACAATATGCAACCTCCTATTTTCTCTTGGTCTCTAATATTTCTAGTTTCAGCTTGCATTTTATATGAATCGGTGTTTGGCATAATAATTAAAATAAAATGAAAAGAGACATGCAAAGTTTAACAGTATGGTATTGAAGCATAATGACTGAAATGTTTTTATTGTCAGTTTTACATTTACAAAAAAAGGATCTTCCTGTAGAAAGAATTGTGCTACAGACAAATGTCTGTCTCCATTTTTCATTGCCTACCATTCTAACTTGCTTGAAGCATAGTAAGAAGGTTTACTTGTGGGTAAACTAAACTCTTCATTTAATTTCACATTTTAGTCAGCGGTTTTGCCCACTTTTTAGTTCATTCTATCTAATCTTTATTATTATCTATATTTTATGTTGTCAAGGGCCTTAATTTTATATCTAATAAATATTGGCTAACACATAATGCCTCTGAATCAAAAGTTCTAGATACATTTTTTTATTTCTTGCTTTTTTTACATGTAGCCCATTAGAATTTAAACTGAAGCTATTTACAGAAAATTAAATTATCTCAAAAAAGTATTTGAGTGCTAGTTACAATAAGAAATATCACTGCACAAGTAAGCATACATAAACACAGGATAATTTATGATTGTGTAATGCAAAGTCGAGAAATAAGTAATAAAATAATTCAATGCTTCTTCTAATTTAGTAATCTAACAATAATAATAAGCTGATAGAAAAGCTTTAGCTACGCTTAAAATCATTGTTTAGGTGCAACCTTTCGAAAAAGTCCCAAGAAGCCAGTTATTAAGAAAAAAAAAAATCACTTGATGTTTTTAAGGTCCAGGGGCTCATGGTCTCTGTCATCCGCTGTCTTACTACAAGCGCAGATAGACACTGTACAGGAGTCTGGTCCTCTCCTTCCCACAGAGCGGAATTTCTGTTTCTGAAAGGGCCCTAGTATGACTCCACAATGCCTCATCTCATGGGCATACTTAAAATGATTTGTGCTGTTTCATGGAACACATTTAAAACACGAAGACTCTTTGGTTGCATAAATTAGATTTGCAAGGAATTCTAGCAGTCATATGGCAAAACCATATGAAACAGTGAGGTCCGGAGGGGTGAATGATCTTTTTACTTTTATGCTGTTGGTTAACCTTTTAGTGTAACAGTGCACAGATGCAAGGCACCCTGGAGAACAGGTGACTGGGTGGCCTATTTTACATAGCATTTTAGTGCTAGTTTGGTTACTCTGAGTTTAAAACATCTAATAGTAAAATGATTCAAGTTATTAGTATTCTTTCCTATTGTGCTTTGTGCAATTTCTAGAATAATGTAATATTACACTCAAAATATTAATAATATAGCAGCAATTTGAGTGTTTTGTCAAGTGTTTTATATATCTTCTCTAACTCTAAAAACACTGATAGGTAGTATAGCAAATATTTTCCTGGAATGAGAAACCATGTATCGGAGAGTTAAATAGCTAAATTAAGGCTATGCAGACTTTGCATGTCCTTGTCATCACATATCTAATAATTAAATGCTTTAATTGCCCATTCCAATATCTGTTTAAGCCTTTGCTCTCTGGGCAGATGGGATATGGGAGGCTCTTCCTCTGCTGTGCTCTTGAACCATGTTGTGCATTTTGGGCTAAAATGTGTTCCTTTGTTCAATGAGTTATATTTGAGAAGCCCAAGCTAATATAAAAATACCTTATTCCAAGCCCTTAATAATATCTTCAGTTGTGGCTTTTGTTACAATGTAAAGAAAACCCAAGATGGAATATCTGTCAATTTCAAGCAATAGCCACTGAATCCTCCAGAAGCCATGGACAACAAACCTAGGTATTTCATCTACAGCTATGTGTTAGCACTTGTGCTTGGAAGAGTCAAGCCAAAAGCAATTTTCATACAGCTTTTCTCTTGTTGATACTAAAGACAAGCTCTCACCACATAAATGGCTTCACTGGGTGACAGGGAATATGTCACAATTCTGCCTATTATGGCATGGTCTGAACATCACCATGGCTACACCCAAAGCCAATACAAGGCACCTGCCATGGCATTGTAGTCCCCTACTGAAGCAGCAACTTGGCAGGCACCTGTAGGACCCAAATGAATTCTCACCTGTAATTTCTACAAGGAATTGCATCTTCTCCCACCATGGGATATTCTTAACTACCTAATTAACCAAAGCCCATTTGCCTGACCACAAGGCAAGACCACTAGCTAGGGCCAAGGAATCTTTGAATATCCAGATATTGCTCTGAGGATAAGAACCAAATGTTGATCCTGCCACTGTTCATAAGTCAGCTCATGAGCAGACTTACCTTTGCTTTCTTCTCCTGATCCATTCCATGGAGTGAGTAGTGCCAGGTGTGTTTGGGGTTCTGACCTTCCATATGGGACTTTCCATTGGTGAGCTAGGTGGTCTGCATTGCCTCTGTTGGAAGAAAGCCATGAGGTTCAGTCCATTGTGGGTAGCTCAACTGGAGGTCCATCATTGGCCCATTGTCACATAGGATTTTGTTACACAGACATGATGCATTCCAGCAGAGTCACTCACTTTCAGTTGGTCTTGAATATACTATTTTAATTTTATCAGGGCACTTAGACTGGAATATCTTTTTTATATCACCCATGATGTGGTAAATATCTCAGGCCTAAATATAGACTGATGCCCTTTAGATTCCTTTGGTCTTGGGGGCTATTTCTAACCAGAGCTCAAGAGAACGCCAGCTGCTGTCATTCAAATAGATTATACCCACTAACAGTGTCAGATAATTTTCTAGTCTAGAATCTTAGCAGCCGCCTTAGAGTGCCACTATTGAGCTTTTTTCCAGCAACTCCAGTCTATGTGTGTTTTACTTGCACCATCAGTGAATTTTAAGACCTCAGAGGGACAGCTTGGCTACTGCGTACCTTAGATCTCTCACAGTCTGATTTAGTTTGCCTTTGAAATTCAGTCTGTCTTCCAGTTACTTTCTAATGTGGGGCCAACAGCATCCAAAATGTACCTGCCAAATTTCAACAGTGCTATAAGCTTTTTTTACGTAGCAGAATGTAGAAGAAATAGCACTTTGCCCTTTCATGTTTGTGACTTGTAGCTGGTATTCTCAGACCAGGTTATTTCTTGCAAGTGGGTTCATGAGCTGGACCGGTTCGTGAGCTGGACCTTGCATCTTATCTCGATTAACTAACTGCCCTTACCTAGTCATATGTGCCACTACAGTTTCCAAACTCCCTGACTTTCTGCTTGGCGAGGGAAACTACCATTTATTAAACAACTTACTTTTGATGACTATCTGGACCAAATTGTTTCTTATCCAGTTGTGACAACATATTGGAGAATTTAGGTTCCGTTAGGGATGGACGGTAAGATTATAACTGTATCCACCTCACATGAAGACATACTATGTTTGACGTTTTTTAACCATTGAGACTGAAAACATCAGTCAAGTCTACCAAATCCAACCAGCCTCCTGTCCTGAACTCATGAATAGAGCTTCATGTCCAAAACAGTTAAGTAGTTTTCACCACATCCAACCAGCATGGTGGAGGCTGTTGGGAAACTCCTTTACTGAACTCAAATAATAATCTTCCTACAAAGGAGGATGTAGGCAATTCTGAGGGCTCTTATTTTATTACATCCAATTAAAACTGGGCTAAGGAATGACTTGCCCAGGACTAGGCTCAAGCCAGAAATGGCAAGATCCTTCATTTATGTATCACATCCTTTCCATTTATACATTTGGTTAAAGGCAATGGCACCTACTGAGCATACATTACTCTTTTCTTCCTACCTTCAGGTTTAGTGTGACCATAATACCTACTGCTATAGCTGATCCTTTGCCTCTTTCCCTGCTCGGGCAGCTTCTCATCCACTCTTTAGATTGCTTTCCTGTTCCCCAGCAATATTACCACATATTTTACCTTGGCATCAGGAAATTGCAAGAAACTGTGTTCACTACCCCCATGACGATTCATCTTTAACCACTGCACAGCCTTAGAGCCCCATGAAGAATCAGGCAAGGAAATCCCGGCCTTCAAGTCAGTTGTTTTGTTTCAGCTGCCTTAACTGATGGAGTAAATTTAGCAATCTGTGTCAATGCCTTTTGTCTCAATTCCCCATTGGCACCGTGGGATTTAACATCTGAGCTGAAAGGAACAGATCTAACAGGGTTCCTTAGGGGAGTCGGCTGCCAGAACTGGAACAGATTTCCATCCTCTCAGCAGGTGATAACATGCCAGGAAATTGTTCACTGAAATCCTGTCAATTTTTGCGGTGTTCTTTTCGTGTCTTAACAGACACCTAAAGAGAGTTTATAGCTGTACCTCTGGCTATGATCTTCTGAACAGCCCAGATTTTTTTTCTCATTGGTAAAACCCAGTAGAACAGTTGCAAGAGTTAATGTACCCATGAATCTAAATACCCTCCTGCCTTCCCAAAATAAGGGCCGCATGCCTAAGGACTCCTCTATCCCAATGCCTACCCCAGTTTTGGCCAGGGCACATGGTTTGAGTAGGCTCCTCTCTGATTATTATGTGGCCAGCCCAGATTTTCTGCTGTACTTAACATATCTACTCTTCTGTAGAGGTGTTACATTTCACAGCAGTGAGAGCATCAGTCAGTTTCCCTTCTCAGCATAGATTGATGTATTGATTTATTGATTTATTTTGAGATGAGTTTTCGCTCTTGTCGCCCAGGCTGGAGTGCAATGGTGCGATCTCAACTCATTACAACCTCCGCCTCCCAGGTTCAAGTGATTCTCCTGTCTCAGCCTCCTGAATAGCTGGGATTACAGGTGCCCAGCACCACTCCCAGCTAATTTTTTGTGATTTTAGTAGAGACAGGGTTTCACCATGTTGGTCAGGCTGGTCTCAAACTCCTGACCTCAAGTGGTCTGCCCGCCTCGGCCTCCCAAAGTGCTGGGATTACAGGTGTCAGCCACTGTGCCTGGCCAACATTTTTTCTCTTTGTTTCATATGAATCTGATGGTTAGGAGTATTTTGATTTTGACTTTTAGGTTTTTTCCTCTTCATTATTAATTTATTAGAGTGTAAATGATAACACACTCCTAGGTTCAAGTGATTCTCCTGCCTCGGCCTCCCGAGTAGCTGGGATTACCAGCAGGCACCACCACACCCAGCTGCTTTTTTTTTTTTTTTCCTTTTGTATTTTCAGTGGAGACAGGGTTTCACCATGTTGGCCAGGCTGGTCTCAAATCCTTACCTCAGGTGATCCGCTGCCTTAGCCTCCCAAAATGCAGAGATTATAGGCGTGAGCCACCATGACCAACGCTCATCAGATTTATACCACCCCAGACTTCACCTACTCCAAAAAGGTCACTGACATTACACCTGCCAGTAATTCCTGAATGATAACACTGCAGCAGAATTGGGGTTAGCATTCACACCAAACATTACATTTTCACATTGCAGCATCCAAAAATACGTTATTAGCTCCTAAGTCAGTTAAAGATCTAGGAAAGCATGGATTCCCTAGAGACCTACTAGCACTTCTTAGCAGTGACCTAGCTCCTTTATGCTGTAATTACCTTGTCCAATTTGGTAGCTACTAGCTGCATGTGGTTATCAAGCACTAGAAATTTAGAGTCTGAATTGAGATGTGCTGTGAATGTAAAACACAAACCAGATTTCAAGGACTTCCTATGAAATAAAGAATGAAAAGTATCTCAATTTTTACTTTAATAAATGTTGAAAAGATATTGTGAACATACTAAGTTAATTTGTTTTAAGTTAAAAATATTTTGACCTGTTTCCTTTAACTTGTTAAAATGTAGTTAATGTGAAAGTTAAAATTACCCACCTGGCTTTTATTTGTGGCTTACACTGTATTTTTACGGAACAGAGCTGCACTGTAGTCACTAGTTTGCAGTGTCACTTGCCTGGGGTTACAGAAGGGAAGATTAAAATTAAGTGTGGTGTCCTTCCAAGTACCATCTGGGCTTCTGTTTTCATCTTGAGCTCAGGTCATGAAGCTGCTTGCTTGTGCTTGCTTTACTGGCTGTTTCTCTTTCCCTTGAGTGGTTTGTTTCACGAGAATTCTTTTTTTTTTTTTTTTGAGACGGGATCTCTCACTCTGTCACCCAGGTTGGAGTGCAGAGGAAACCAACCTCCACTTCCTGGTTTAAGCGATCCTCCCACCTCAGCCCCCAGAGTAGCTGGGCCCACAGGCACCCGCTACCACACCTGGCTGATTTTTCATAATTTTGGCAGAGACTGGGTTTCACCATGTAGGCCAGGCTGATCCCCAACTCCTGAGCTCAGGCAGTCCACCTGCCTCAGCCTCCCAAAGCACTGGGAGTACAGGCATGACCTTCCACCCCAACCCCCAAAATCATTGATTAATAGAAAACAAGGAATTAACTGTCTCTTGAGCCACTTTCCCCTCAGTTTTATCTCACTGATCATCCATCTTTCAATTCAACAAGGGAAAAACCTATGCCATCCATATTCTGGTTGTAATATTCAGCATGTTATTTTCTGCAGAATCTTTGCTATCTTCAAACCAGGTTGGATCAGCATCAGATTCTCCTCAGAACTCCCCCCTGGAACCTTTGGCCATGTTAAGTCTCAAAGGATTGAAAGCCTGGTTAGCTTCTGTCCACCGCTGCTGAGATTTGGGGTTCAAATTGTCATACAGACTCTCAGGGCACCATAGGCTTTAACCTAAAATTATGTTCACTCAGCCTCCTAGGAGGATGTGAGGCAGGAAACCCATCAGGCCTCTAGCATCTGCCTCACACAGGAGACTTAGCAGGTTCTCAAGAGCACAGCTTCTTTTGCCCCTCATCACACAGAACACATAGGTAAAGCTGCTGTGGACAAAAATCAGGGTGTATATGATCATCTTCACGCAGAGAATCACAGCTTTTGTTCCAAACCACACTTGTATACAATCTAGTCACATGGGCCAATGCACCTCTCCCCAGTGCAGGTGCAGCCCCTCACAGTCAATGAGGCCAACTCCAATTCCCCTTGCAGCCTACCTCTATTGTTTTCAGGGGAATGATGCTTAGGAAATCAGTGGTCATTCTCCACACTCCTGTAAGAGCCGAGGCTGGATGTTAACTCTTTGCTCACACTCAGCTATATAGAGACATACAAATGAGAAAAAAATCAGTTGCTCACAAATATGTTAATTTTGAATAGATCATCTCTGTTTTGAGATGAGCAGCTAGGGTCTCTCAAGTTTTAAAATAAGTTATTGGCAGGGCACAGTGGCTCACACCTGTAATCTCAGCACTTTGGGAGGCCGAGGCAGGTGGATCACCTGAGGTCGGGAGTTCAAGACCAGCCTGACCAACATGGAGAAACCCCAACTCTACTGAAAATACAAAATTAGCCAGGCATGGTGGCACATGCCTGCAATCCCAGCTACTCAGGAGACTGAGGCAGGAGAATCGCTTGAACCTAGGAGGTGGAGGTTGCCATGAGTAGAGATTGCACCATTGCACTCCAGCCTGGGCAACAAGAGTGAAACTCCATCTTAAAAACAAATAAATAAATCTATTTATAAGTTATTCAGAACAGATCATTAGAAAGGTAGTCA